AAAAAAAACATTGATGATGGATTATGTATAAGCGCATCTTTAACGAAGTTTTTAGCAACGTATCGCCAATGCCGGGCCCAACTGGAAAATCGCCTTCAGAACTTCTCCACGGAAGTGTTGTGTGAACTTTACTAACCCAGATATTTTCTTCGAAAAAAGAGGTATCAAAAACTAAGACTTTTCAACGCGTTCACCAAAATTCCGGACAGGATGGACAGTTTTCTTTCGTAACTTCGCTAGAGGTCCCAAATGGTTAAAGGGAGAAATCGCCAAAAGTTGAGAAACATGCTATATTTAGTAAGGACATCGACAGCTGAATACAAACGTCATCAGAATCAACTTAAATTCTGCAGTCAAGGAAATGAAACTCAAATCCAGCCATGCCGGCAAATAATTAATGCCCAATTTCAACAGCAAGAGAGCGAATCCGATAGTGCAACTAATAATGAATCGCAAGACCTTCCGTTAGAACAGCAAGAGAGGAATAATGTACCATTAGAAGATATAGAGCAAAACACGTAGAAGCGAACGGAATCGGAAACCTGTAACGCGATTCCAAGCTGAGGATTTTTGAATTCAAAAGGGTGGATAATGATATGTATCAAATTACACATTACTCTTTTTATTTATTACTTATTGCTGTTTCGCACCTCTTTATATTGCATTGAACTACCGTATTGAATTGAGCATTTATGTATGTATGTACATACTCACATTATCTTATATATATATATATGCATTTCATATACTCATATTTACCTACTTTATTTATTAGTCTTTTGTTTTACATATATCAACATACATTTAGTTCAACCTTTTTAACTTTGTTTGACATTGAACCCAACAATAAGTCAGTAATTTGTTAAGCTCGATTAGAGATCAACGTGTTTAAATAACTCCAGAAGTTAACACTTTCGAGTTTTTTGAAATTACCGCTACGTTGGTGGAGCCCGTGGGCTTGGTCCGATTTCAAAAATGTTCTATATTTTTAGTAAAATTTCGTCGTAAGCGACATTTGTGCTCAATTTAGCAGCCACTTTGTATTAAATACTACAAAATGGAATAGAAAACTACTACTAAATTTACGACACTTTTTACTCAATATCTCGTAAATTAAAGGAGATATCCAAAAATGGAGAACGCCATTTTTAAGATATTGATTAGTTTAAAATGACTGCATGACTAACTAAACTTTTAATAAATTAACGAAAAATTTTAGTCAATATCTCGGAAACTAAAGGAGATATATAAAAACTGAGAACACCAATCGAAAGACCTTATTTCAAAATATATAACTGCATCAAGAACTAAAAGTCGTCAAAATTGCGCTTACGACGATCTTTTACCCAGGCGACGATATGTATATGATATATACAAACAGAAATTCAAGGCCGTATTTAAGTAAAGTGGCTGAACTTCGACAATTTTTATGCGATTGCAATAAATGAGGTATCAGTTTATTTGGAAGTAGATTTAATTTAAAATGGTACTACATGTTTTGAAATTGTGGAAATAAGTGATGGTTAAAATTAAAAAAATTAAGCTTTTTTTAAATTTTCCCGATGAAAGATCCCGACAATCCAAGTCTGACATTAGTTTATTATACATGGCTTTAAAGGCCAATAAATCCTCTTCTCATAACCTGTTAGATTTTTAAAATTGAATGGAAACTAGTTATTCAAAAACTGATAAATCTTCAAAGCCGTACTTTCTGGCGTAAAATGACAAGTCGCGACCTCTAAATGATTTTTGAAAGATCTATAAAAATAGGCAATAATATTTCTCACAAGCAGCAAGGAAGCAAATTAGGGGGTAGGGTCTTAAAATTTCAAAGAAAAAATTTCAATGGGCACTCTAATGCACATAGCAATTTTATGTTTTTGGGTTTAATAGGGTAAGTGATAATCAAGGAACGGATTTTATGGAAATTGCATTTTTTTTGCTAAAGGGATAGAGTACATATTTTTCCTGTAAACCAGTGTTATTTTTCAGTTTTTGTCTCTTTTTAGTTCGTTCTTTTGCCTTTTTTGCTATTTCTAGTGCCATTTCCTGCCTATTTCGCTATTTAATTTTGCCCTTTCCAGCCTATTTCGTTATTTTATTTTGCCTTTTTTATAGGTTTTTAGGTCCTAAACATCCATTCCTGGTGATAACAATAGGTAACTCCGAAGCGACGCAGCGTAAATACTGTAGATGCCATTTTTATCGTGTCGTAAAAACAGTTCGGAGTATGAGAAGTGATGGAAAATTCTCTGCAATCACACATTTTTATTGAAATACTTACATACATATATATAACACGAAATAATATAACACTATTTAGTTGTTTAGCAAGTGATGGTCATCTTTTTCAAATTTTCCCGTTTCATTGCGTTTTATTCTGTTCCGTTGTTTTTTTTTTAGGCGTTTCGCCCTTTTTTTAGCAGTCTTTGCTTCTGCGACCTGCCGATTGTGTTCGATTTTTTTTTGGAATTCGTTATCGTGGTGCTCTTTAATACTCATTGTCTGCATATTTTTTTGTCGGGAGTATTCTTTCCTTCGTAAATGGCGGTAAACGTGAAACTCCCCTGAACCTGCACCAGCACTGGATCCCATAACATTACGGACAAAATTTGGTACTGTCTGATTATAATCCTTTTCCTTTTGAAGCGTTGGCACGATTACTGGCTTGTTCTGTAAATTAAAAAAAATATTACTTATTTTATTACTAAAGTAATTTAGCAGGACACAACGTACTTTTCCAAATAAGAGCGCATTTAACTTAGAGAGGGTTCTGAATAAAGGCGAGAATTTCACATAGTTGAATTTCGGAAATACTAAATAAAATAATGAAACATGCCGCAAGTTATGAGGCGGAACCTTGAAAGATAATTTCTTCAAAAGAATATATCAATCGACAGTGCCTTCCACTATTTTAGCCACAAAAGACAGCGAGTATGCCGTTCTAGGCATACCACCCCCGGACATAGACGAGACAGAGCTTCATCTGCCTCGGGAGACATGCACTACACTCGCACAACTTCGCTCCGGCTACTGCAGCAGGCTGAACTCCTACTTGAGTAGGTTGAATGAGGATGTGCCGAATGAGTGTCCGGCATGCGGAGAGACCCCACATGACTCGAAACATCTCTTCGCATGCCTGGAAAACCCGACAACCCTAACGGCCTTGTCCCTGTGGACAAATCCCACAGAAGCTGCACGCTTCCTAGGGTTGCCGTTAGTGGAACTTGACGACAACGACTGAGATACCAACCGATCTGGGCGGGGTTGTTGTAGCCGCTACAACAACAACAACAACGTAGTCACTCGAGGTTTTTTAGTTGGAATGGGCGGAAAGTCAGCCGAATTAAAGTTGAATGTATGAAAGACATTGAGAGATTTTTTAATGGCTTCTCGTTTTTTTTTCGGTTCATGGGCTTTAGCTTTCTCCAGTTTTAGCTTTCTCAGAGATTGTCTTTTATCGCAAGATCGAACGGTAGCGTCATGAAACTTGTGACAGTTAACGCACATAGGCATTGCGGAGCATACGTCTTCGAGCTCTTTACCACACTTGGAACATACCTTTCGTGGGCGATCGCATACTTTCTCAGTACTATTAAATCGCCAGCATTTGCGGCATTGAATCAATGGTTCGACATATGACTTGACAGGGAAAATTACTCTATCAAGAACCACATGTGAAGGAAGGACATTTCCAGTGAATGAGACTGTTATTAGGTCTAGATCAACTCTAAGAGACCTGTCGGTGGGATCTTTTTTTGTGATGGGACCATATACGAGAAATTGTTTAATTTCTAGGGTTTCAAATATATATTTTTCAGTGAAATCATTGCCAGCCGGAATAGCAATGACGCCTTTTACCTCGCACCTTTCTGCGGGAATGGAAGTCAAGTAATTTTCGCGTAGCGAAATTTTTTTGGAAATGGCGTTTGCCGTGAAACGCCAGTTAGTAACAATTTTAATCTTTTTGTTATTGACGAAAAAGATGGCATGTCCTCAAAGGAGCCATGTAGGAACTTACCGAGCTTCACAAGAGGCAACTGTGAGTTGCCCTTGAAAGCCTGAATGAAGACCACGTATTCAATTGCGTCAGGTGTATATTGTTACTTCGCGGACTAACCCCTTTTTCGGATGCCCCTTCGTCGGGATTGCGATTATCCAACATTGGGTAAACCACATTGATCGCAAAAAATCGCACAAATCTCACTTCTTTTTTAGAAATCGCAAAAATAAAGACACGTGAGTATCGCACCAATGCCAAATCAAAAGTCCTTGCGGAATACCTAAAGAATACGGACCCTTGAACTAGAGAAAAAAGAAAACGTGGACGTGGTGTACCCCTTTCTACTGAGTTTAATGGTAAACTTTTTTTTGGTGCAAATTGACAGGGGCGGCGCTAGGGGGGGCTAAACGTGGATTTCCAACATTTCTAAAAGCTTATATTTTGAAAACTATTGTACTGATTTTCAAAATATGGACACAGTTGGAAAGGTAATTGAAGGAACTTTACATTCAATATACATATATATAAATATACATATATATAATGCAAATATATTTTGAGAAAAAGTAAAAAAACGAAATTATGGCAACTTTTTTATAAAAATGTATGTTTTTCGTAAAAAATACGTTAAGTTTAAGTACAACTGCCAGCAGTGCAATAAAACAACTGTATTAATGTTATATGCTATTAATTTAGGTAGTAGTGCACTTTAGCGGAACCAGGTCAAAATGAACGGAAAAAGTTCGAGAGTGGTGGCGTCTTAACGCCAATAATAACAATCCAATCCACAAATTAACATTTTTAATTCATTAAAGAGTTATTTGCAAAAAACACTTGGACTTTCCGCACTAGGTTTTGATGAATTTGCCACAAGTGCGATTTTACAATTACAACCTTTCAATATTTATCGAAGTATTGATTTTTACGGAAAAAGCGCCCAGGCGAAAATTGTTAATAAAAAATCGCGCGATTTTTTATTAAAAATTTTTATTATTTATAAGTATTGATTTTTATGGAAAAAGCGCCGCAGGCGTGAATTTGTAATAAAAAATCGCGCAGAAAGAGTTCTGCGTCATAAATACTACGATGTCAGAAGGTGTATTATACACTTGACAAGGCAAAACAAAAAGGAGAATTCTGCGTAGTAAGGGTTATAATCCCTAAGCGCGGCCGAAGCCCGCCTACGTTAAAAGAGTTTTGTGTCAAAGCTACTACGATGTCAAAAGGTGTTTCACACGCTTGACAACGCAACACAAAAATGAGAAGTCTGCGTAAATAATATTCATAATTGCTATTGAACACCTAAGAAATTAGCACTTATCATATTCTCTAAAGAAAAGTAAACAAATTTATAAATGTGTTAAATGACATCGTTAAATAATGAAATTAATATAATGGCTGCGTTTCTTTATACATTCCGGATAATCCCATTTCACAGCCGGAATAAACAGAATGCGTTTGAAATATAAGTCAACATATCATCAGGAACGTTCTAAAGAATAAATAAACAAAAAAGCTTATTCCAAACGTTCAGAATGAATAAAGAAATGCAGCCAATATGAAATATATAAACGTTCAAAGAGCTTAATTTAGTTGGAATGTGTGTTGTCTGCACACTTGTATTTGTTTGAAATGGTTTGTTATCGTACATTTTGTTAGGTGAAATTTTCAAATTTAACAACAAAATTCTCGTAAACTATGAGTTTCCTCGCCAACCCAAACAAGGGGAAACTTTCCATTATGGCCGTTCGTTAAAGGTGCGGTGGGCGAAGGGGGAGTGGGCGTGGCACCTCCAACCGACCTTTTTGTAGAGAGCATGAACCGCCTTTGACACAAATGCAACCCCCGACCACCTAGGCCCCCTATAGTTGCCTACGGACTCCTTAGAAAAATGGCCAAAAATCGCAATTTTTACTTGCGTCCAGTATTTTTGCGTAGAATTCCTTTCTGCGTAGGCGGCCTTCGGCAGTGCTTAGGGATTATAACCGTCACTACGTAGAATTCTCCTTTCTGTGTGACCTAACTGGGGCTACCGCCCCAGTGATGTAACCTTGGGAAAGGATGAGGTAACTAGAATTCCCTTTCTGTGTGGTAAACCTGGAGCTGCCGCCCCAGTGATGTCTATTTTGGTTAATGGTTGTTTTATAAAAATGTCTGATATATAAAAATGGGTCCATAGGGGACCTAGGTTGTCGGGGGTTTCAATTTTGTCAATGGCGGTTCATTCCCTCTCCAAAAAGGTCGCCCACCGCCCCTTTAACAAACGGCCATAAAGGAAAGCCAACCCAAACAATTTGCTTCGCGCAGACACGAGTTGCTATTCGAACAAAATTTCCGAAAAATACGTAAAAATGATAGCTACGTCGGATTCAGGCATACCAACATTACGAATTCCGAAGATGGCCTACGAATTTCGAAATTACGATACAACGCGGATTTCAGCATACCAATTTTACGATTCGAAGCAAAATCGAAACTACGACGGATTACAGCAAAGGGCTGGTTGTTCAATGCCTGGTTATCAGTACTTGCCGGTTAAACATCATTATCGACGTTTCCGACATCATGCACATAACATGCGATCGATAAAGCAGTCTTTGTATTTAACCAGAGCTTCTACCTCCGATGTGTGCTAATCAGACTTTGTACAACCGGGCCTAAGGGCCGGATACTCAATGTCTGGTTAACACTAATCTCCGGTAAAACATCGTTATCGACGTTACCAACTCCACGTTATATGCATGGAGCCGAACACGTCGATAGTGATGTTTAAGCGGAGATTAGTGTTAACCAGACATTGAGTAACCGGCCCTAAGGGTGATAACTTTAACCTGAACCTCTACTATTCAATGGCGCCAAATATTTATGTGACCTGGTCTACGGAAAGGGGGCTTAGGTGTCAAAAAATCAATTTTCACTTTTTGGTTGATTCGGATGGAAGATGAGATGCTTTTTCACGTGGTGAAAAGCAGAAAATCCTAACTTGCTTAGAAGTACAGTAAACGTCACTTCTTCAGTGTTACTTTTTTAAATGTTCCACACTAGCAACTTACACGATGAACTATAATAATATTCCGACCAACAACACTTACTGGACCAACAACAACACTTACTGGACCAACAACAACACTTACTGGACGTCCGGCGCGGAGAACAATTAACGAGATAATGAGAAACTGACGAAACGAGTTGCTTACTTTTAACAGCTTTTTCACAGAAAACTAGTTTTCGCACGTAAGCTCCCGTTTCGTAGACCAGGTCACATATAATTGAAATCAGCGTAAAAAGCACTATCGATCTGCATTTTTAGTTTTTCTATAGCTGAACGGTCTGGATGGGTTCCAACACCCCAAAAACCGATGTAATGGAAAGCCATCTCTGTATTTTACCAAATCCAACTTCTCTACAACATACGGGATTCATCATTAGTTTTTCCAGCTTCATTCTTTGCAAGTCTGTCGCCGTCTTAACATTTTGCCGAATCTTGGACGAATTACTTAGTTTTTCAGGATTCATTATAAGAATTACTACTATTTCACTCTCCAGTCGTCATTTGCAACTAGGGATGAAAAGATACAAGTACATACTCGATACTTTTCGTTCGATACTAGAGTTGCAAAACTATCGATTGTACTATCGATAGTTTTATTTTTGGAAAAACATCGATTGTTTTCGGACGATAGTCGATAGTTTCGATAGTGCCGGTGCATTGAAATTTCGTGATCTTTACATATTGGCCGTCTCCATAGGATAAAATTTATTGCAGTCCAACTGTCATTTTGGTCGCTAGATATAAATTATATCAGTGGCAATATTTGTGTGGGTTTTTTATATCTTGATATAAGCATATGTGAGATAGCTTTTAAAACGTATTTTTGCCGGATTTAATCACTTAAAAAATTTAGAAAATAGGCTATTTTACATCCAATTACATAATAACAAATATTTTAACAGAAAACAGTTCAATATTTGCTTTTATATTAAAATATCAATAATGTTGTCGTCACGAAGTTTTCATGCAAATGAACATGTAGCTGTTAAACTACCAAATTGCCGGCAATATATGACAAGATATAAGCTCTGATATATATTGCTCCTGAAGAGCAATGAGCGGTCTCCATTGGCAAATTATATTCGGACATATGTATCAAGATATAAACTTTATCCTGTGGAGACGGGCAGCACAAGAGAATTACCTATTTATACTTTTATATGTGCAATATTTAAATTTACATTATACACATTTTGTTCGGAGCCGAAGTTTCCGTACATTGGTTGCGTTCATAAGACGTAGCTGTTTAGCTCATCTGCTACGAAACTGCTGGCAACTGTTGAACCCAACAATTACGTCTTAGAAACGGCTTGATGAATATGCTGCCAAATGAACAGCTGATAAATGAAAATGCAACAAATAGAGATAGTTGCGCCGATACTATTTAGAACTCAACGCTGAGCGGCCACCGTGTTGAAAAAATCGTTCAATGTTACAATGAATCAAACAGTGTAAAATTATATAGCAAGCATCTTAAAAACATATATTTAGAAACGTAGTATTATTATAAAATATTTTAGTTACTTTATCACGTCAGTAATATAAAATATAATAAATTTGTTTGCAACTGCCACCTAACAAAGCGGCGTTAAATTTAATATAAGTGGCGTAAGTCTTTTCGATCATCTGTTTAGGCTAAGCCCAACACGTTGAGTTCAGGTAGCGTAAAAATTTTCCGCTGGAAAAAATGGCGGAAAGTTGCCAACTGTTGGGCTGAGCGTAACTACTCAAATGTGCGTTTCTAAGACAAACAGCCAACGGTTACCCAACAGCTACGGCTTATGAACGCGCCCATTTACAACACGATAGTATACGATACTATCGAAAATATCAATAGTATTTTTCAAACAATCGAAACTATCGATAGTTTTGCAGCTCTATTCGATACCAAGTAATTTTGGCATTGATAATTTTGAACCAAATACTGAGTAGAACTATGTTCACATATCAATATTATCTCAATCAAAGCTCGTTTTTTAATCACCCCGTTTACACAGGCAAATCTCAGATTATTAGCCGTCAAATTTGTTGTGCTAGTTATTCTCACATCCCCCCGCTAGGGCACGCACCTTGTCGTTGGTGCGGGGGCTTAGCTGAATCATCAATCGGGACGCAACAGGAGGTGTCAGCACGCACGCATCAGCACCTCTCGGGTATGGTACGGGCGCGCTGCACTGCCTTGGTGCGACCCGCTGATGGACAGTGACCAAGAACTGCCACAGTTTTAGATTGTTCTGTGAAGGCATCACCTCCACCCCGGAGGCTGCCAGATTGCACAGAGCACTAGCTAGAGGTACAGGTGAAAACCATATGGCGATAAAACTACCAGACGGCAGCTACACCAAAAGTGAGGAAGAGAGGGCCCTGGCCCTCCTGACAACACACTTCCCAGGAGCATTGACTCCGGTAGCAGAGGATAGTGATGAATACCATAAGCCGGCCTCGGAGGACTGGAAGACGGCAAAATGCCTATTCACCTGGTCGACCGTACAATGGGCCATCGATTCGTTTGAGGCCTATAAGACCCCTGGGGTGGACGGCTTATGGCCGATTTTACTCCAGAAAGAACTGGACCTGCTTACCCCGATTTTAATAAAATCATGCGGGAAAGCCTGGCACTAGCGTATCTCCCAAAGTCGTGGAGGAGAGCCTGTGTCAAATTCATTCCTAAGATAGGCAAGAAAGACTACTCGCTGGCGAAATCTTTTCGCCCGATTAGTCTAACATCATTCCTTCTTAAGGCAATGGAGAAGATCATAGACAACCACATAAGGTCCACCACTCTGACGTCATTGCCGTTGCATCATGGGCAACACGCCTATCGTGCAGGTAGATCGACGGATACAGCGCTGTTCCAGCTGTCATCTACCATACGGAATGCACTTGAGGGGGGGGAGGTAACACTCTGTGCGTTTTTAGACATTGAAGGAGCCTTTGATAACACCTCACACGAGGCAGTAGATCGAGCTCTAGAGAGAAGGAACGTAGACATCCCGATCCGAAGATGGATCAGTACAATGCTGCGAACAAAACTGGCAGAGACCGTAGCTGACAATAAAATCATACAGTTGATGACGGTAAAAGGCTGCCCGCAGGGGGGCGTACTGTCTCCCCTGCTTTGGAGTATACTAGTAGACGAACTACTTGAGTTACTATCCAACAACGGCATTTTGTGCCAAGGATATGCGGACGACATAGTAATTATAGCGAGGGGCAAATTTGAAAGCACCTTCTGCGACATTGTACAAAGAGCACTTATCCTAACTAAAAGATGGTGTGGCACGGTGGGCCTTAACATAAACCCCGCCAAAACAGCCGTTATTACTTTTACTAGGAGAAGAAACCTTCCAGGCATGCACCCCATAACATTAGGAGGCATAGAGATAGAAATATGTAATGAAGTAAAGTATCTAGGAGTCATCTTCGACAGCAAAATGCTATGGAATAAGCACATTGAGTACGCTGTAACAAAAGCCACACGAGCTTTAATGGTGTGCAGGAGACTGGCCGGCAAATCATGGGGGTGCAGCCCCTACATCCTACGATGGATGTACACAATGATTGTCAGGCCAATAGTTACATATGGAGCAGTGGCATGGTCCGAGCGGGCTGCCCTCAACACGGTAAGGGCGTCGCTTTCCAAGCTGCAGCGACTGGCGTGCACCTGTATAACAGGTGCCATGCGCACATGTCCCACTGCAGCCCTGGAGGTAATCTTGGACCTGTCGCCACTGCACATAGTCATAGAACAAACCGCCAAAAAAGCCCTCCTAAACTTCATGAGGGAGGGCACTGGAAGAGGCAAGGTGATCTCGAGCAGACTCGGAGAGGAAATCAAAAGCAAGATTCCTATCTCCCAGCTCAATAGAGACGACATGGTTAGGCTAAGAATCTTCGAGAAAAAGTTTAGAACCGTACTAGGAAGCAAGGCAACCTGGAACGAGACAATGTTGGATAACACCTTTCGGCCCCATACCCAAAGGTGGTTCACAGATGGCTCCAAAACCGACGAAGGGATAGGGGCAGGAATACATGGCCCCCAAGCCAATATCTCCATTCCCCTGGGGAACTATCCCAGTATCTTTCAGGCGGAGGTTTTTGCCATCGACATTTGTGCGGAGGTAATTCTGCAGAGACAACCGAGAAAACAGCACATTGTCATTTGCAGCGACAGTCAGGCTGCACTGAGAGCCGTATCGTCGTGTGAAATTAATTCACGGTTGGTATGGGAATGTGTAAAGAGACTAAACGCCCTGGGGGAACTCAACACAGTACAGCTGATGTGGGTCCCGGGCCATACAGGCGTACAGGGCAACGAGGATGCTGACAAGCTCGCTAGGGAAGCAGCAGCCACTCGACCCATAGGACCAGAACCCTTCCTTGCAGTTGGTCCTCACACTATCAGGGAAGAGTTAAGAATAGAGGAACGAAACCTCATCAGAACACATTGGAAGAATACGCCTGGACTAAGGCAGGCGAAAGAACTTCTAGGAAGCTATAATCCCAGAAGATCCAGAGAACTAATTACACTCAACAAGACTAATTTAAGATTTATTACAGGACTGCTAACTGGTCACTGCAGGCTGCGGGCCCATATGCATACCTTAGGGATTA